GGCAGTTATGAGCGTGACATGAGTCAGCCCATTTACAATTCTACTATGCTTGAACAAGAAATGTCCCCCCTTTGGGAATGGCCTAAAAACACAACAGTCAGTGGCACTGCCCCAGGGGGTGGTCAAAAGAGTGTGACAAACATACAAAAGAAGTTGAGAAAAAATGACCGTAGTAAGGATTAGGAAAGAAAAAGCAGCAGTTCCCTGTTGTAGTTCAGGCGCAGTTATGAGCATGACGTTGAATCAGCTGCCTTTTCTGCATTTCTCACATGTCCCATACAACTCTTGTTGCTGACTGGATCTCTACGCTAGACTAGATTCGATTTCTAAAATATCTGAACTACACAGAAATTTCCAGTGAGGTAGGACTGCACATCCACAGCACCATCACAATTAAACACAAAGGCAAAGCTTGGCGAAGCCAATTTGTCCACAAAATTCAAGATATTCATGTTCCAGTAAGCTAGCAAATATGATCGAACGGTTTGATAAGATCAAAGAGCGCATCTTGGAAAAAAGTAGTTTGCAGCAGTAGAAAACCCCATCAGAAAGAGAAGAGACTTAAAAAGTTGGACGGAAAATCTGCCGAAACAAACCCGCCGATGTCCAACACTTGAACAGATCAGGATATCACGATTCGGTACCGTCGGGTGTGCATTTTAAAAGAGAAATTCGCAGATTTTTCTGAAATAGACCTGCATGTGAGCCTCAACCAAATTTTGCGCAACCCCCCCACCCCGAGCTTTTGTGGGTGTCTTAAGGAAGGACTTTCGAGTAACGAGCGACCACCCCAACAAACACAACAAAGAAGAGACCTAACCCTACCCCTACCCCAAAAAAGAACCTGCAACGAGCCTCATGTGAAAAGGCCAGCTAAAGTCCAAAATGAAAAATATTTTTAAAATTAAAAAACCACACTCCAAAACAAACAAGGCTTACAAGGAGCATAATGGCCTACATCTACATATTGCTAGATCTATAATAATAGGGTTTGATACAATAACACAATAGATTCTAGAATTGGAATATGAATCCTCCATATAGATCCAATAAACTAAATAAATCTAGATCTTGTAGAACAAGTGAATATGATCTAGGAATAGGCCTTGAACTAGAAATCCGCATCCGATTCCGAACAGAGGGGCTCAGCTGAGTCTAGACTTGGTCTAGATTCTAAATTTAAAATAAACATTTCACGTACCTGATGAAATGCCTCTTACCAACATTAATATTACAGCACAGCCTATGATAGGGTTTGACAAAATAGAATTGGAATATGAATCCTCCATTGAGGTCTATAATGATCTAGAGTATATAAATCTAGATTCTATTAAATAAATCTAAGTGAGTCGGACTGGAATGAATCCACACGATCTGAACAATTGAATTTGTCAACAAAACGAAATTCAAAATGGCCGCTCGAGCACGAAACTGAAAGTAGATAATTTAGGTCGTCGTCCTTTTTCGTATTCGCATTTCTACTCAGGTACCGACAATTGTGTTGGAAACGCCGACGCCGGCACGAAAACGAAAGTGCCGACAAAGCCGGCGGGAGAAAAGGGGGACGCTGGCAGTCGGCCAGGCCTCGCATTCGCACAATGACTGATACAGGTGGCGCCTTGCGATTGTCGGATTTCAGACGATTGTCGGCAAACATGCAGGTCTACTAATAGTACGGTGCACAACCGAGAATACCTACAAACGTACACAGACCCCAAAATAAGGCGCAGCCCCCCCCCCCCCATGTTCTAGTTTTAGTAGAGGTTTTACGGTGTCCACAACTGCATAAGGTCATATGAGCACCAGGAGATTAGAAGTGGTACAAGAGAGTAACAAACATAAAAAAGAAGGGGAGATAAGGACGATAGATGTTTGATAGGAAAGAAGAAGCAAACCACACCAGAGCACCTGCCAACCATCCACAGCAGCTAAGTGATTGCAATCATAATTTTTAAGGACTACAAAGAACCAAATTAAAGCACATAGCACAACAGTCTGAGAATTACTTCACACATGTTGCAGTAATGTTATGTTAAGTGTTTTAAATAACTCTGACAAAATATAGTTCGATGTTACAACAAAAGTGTATATTTTTAACTTGAAATTTACAGACCATTAACAAAAGACAACTTAAGACAAGTCTTGGAAAATTAAAAATAACCCCGGAGGCAGGGCCTTTTCCACGGCTGCTCCTTCAGTGTGGAAAACGAGAGCAAACAAAAGCACAGCATGCAAATTAACCCCCCCCCCCCACAACAATTGTCTTGGAATATCCCGCCAGGCAACCTAATCAACCATAAGAATAACAGACACAAAAAAACAAACCTCAACAACAAAACAAACAAAAACAAAACCACCTACACTTGTTGCGGTAAAAGTTTCCAGAGATGTTAATGCCTTCACATCTCACGACAACCACTCTTTGACCTGTTTGAAAGAGAAAAAAATCATGAACTTATTTGAATATCAAAACAAAACGCAATTGGGAGTAAAAGTGAATACTCACCCTTTATGCTCAGGGAACACATTTTTTGTCATAGCCCATGGGCATTAAATTAGGCAGTTTAGTGAAAATTTCAAATTTGTGTGATATGCTTTGAAATACTTTCATTTGAAAACTCTTGCCTTCATGATCATAAAACAGTTTAAATTTTGTTGATATCTTTATTAGTTAAAAGTTATGGCGATTTTTCATACCTAAAATCCGGCGAATTTCAGGCCACTTTCAACACTGAGTTTTTGTGACATAAAAATGCAACTTTACAACACAAATGACCATTACTCAACACAAATGCAATTTTTTAAAGTGTTGTACATCAGTTTGTTGGGAATTTTACACAGCATGCACACAACTACAAAACACCTCTTTACAAAGTCACAGAATTATTTTTTTGGTACTTCTAGAGGTTCAGGGTGATAAAAAATCCCCCACAAGGATAACCCAAAATGGACAAAATGGGCTATATCTTTGCTGCTAATGGTCATATTTAGACAAATCATACATCATTCTCTGTCTTTTTTCACTGTTCATAATTATTAAAGAGTTAAGCCAATTAAGTAATAATTTCCAATTTTTATGCTCATTCTTAAGGTTTCAAAACGTATTTTTTAAAAGTGTTTTTCTAATCGTAAAACGGATTCCGTAAAAAACCCCAACAACAAACAACCTCTTAATGACCCCCATAAGTCAGCTTCCTATCCTTCTTTTACAAAGTATTGTAACATACATTTGTGTGAAGCTATATTTAATGCTTTCAAGTGCATAAAAGAGCTTATAAATTCAAGAAAAATGCTCTTCGGAGACCTAGTTGTAGACTCACTGGAACATTTAATAAACTGCGGAAAGATGACCAGAAAATAAAGTCATTTTATGATCTTCACACAAGTTGCACTTGCAATTTTTTGGACAAATTATTTTTAGTCTACCTCATTCTATTATTTTTTCACACATGTTTCTTCACTATTCATTACATTTTCAGTTATTATCAACTAGCAATTTTTTTTTTTATTGATGAGCATAATTTAAAAAAAATATTGAGTCAGACTCATTGGCCATAAATTATATATTTTTAAATGGCACAATTTGATAATGTAAATGTGAAAATATCCAGAAAATAACAACATTAAATTATTAGGTACTGAAAGTGAAAGACTGAGCAGAGGCTTAGATAAACTCTGTTCTCTACTACTATACCACTAACTAGTAAGTTTGTGCAAAACTGATTTAAGAAAAAGGTCGTCTCATAAAAGCAATTGTTATGATGAGATTTATTAACTCTGGAATATATAGCTAAATGCTGAATCTAACATCAATTAGAACTGTGCAATTCAAGCTTTATTTCAATTCCAAAGCCCAAAGGCATAAATAGATATGCTGGCTTTTTGACTGCTTCTAGCCTACTACTGCTGAATTCTAGAAGGGAATCTAGATTTAGCTATCATTTGCACTATTCAAGAGCCAAATATGGTAAAATAAAAGCAAAACTGAATTCTTTTGTCAGTCCGTTCATAATTTCATAGCCGCACAAATTATTATTATCCGGAGAAACAAGTAAAGCGCGAATAAACGCGATGCCGGCGCAATACGTTATCACAGTGTGCAGGGGAGAGCGGGGGCGCCGACGGGTCGATCCGGCGTTTCGTATGCATTTTTACGGGAAGCGCTGTAGCGTTGTGAGAAATTCAACCTAAACAACTCGGGTGTCAAAAGAAACTAGAATGGATAATCTAAAACTTCTGAAAGATTCATAAATATACAGCCAGTAGTTTTCATTTTATCGCGTTCTAAAAACTGCCTTGTTTTCAGATGCAAATATTTCCAGCTCTACTGAATCGATTTTCACGCGAAGACCGCCATTTTGAAGACCTTTCTTTTCTGTTTAAAAAGATGTATCGGGAGTGGTAGTGCAATTCGCAAAACGAAACAAAACTGTGAGTTGTTTAGACCCACCGTAGCGCGAGGCTTCACGGCCGGTCACAAAAATCTACTGGGCGTACCGTGGCCGATTTGCCCTGCCGCGAGCGCGTTCACTAAACTGCCTAATTAAATTCAAAGTTACTAAAATATCCTGTTGTCCTCTCTGCTATTGACTTACTCAGCCCTGACCAGACAGCATCAAGATGGACTTTTCCACTGCCTAATAATGTTAACATATCCAATGAAAACATCATAACAATGGCAAAGGTCACTTGCTGGATCTACAATTGAAAATAACCTGGCCCGGGGTAACAAAGTGGGAAATGTGAACGAGTCTTGGTCTTTCTTCCGAGTAATTTTTGGTGCCTCTTGCTGACCTTTATAAGATAAAGGTGGCAATTTCTCACAAACTATCAAATATTTTCATATTTTGTAAATATTCCCCTTGGCCCCAGGGCTGAATGGTTAAACCACACTGATCAACAATGAATTGTCTACCACTGATGTCAACCAATACATCCAACAGTTTTTTCCCCCCATTAACAAAAAAGCTTACCTTGCAAGAGCGTTTTCGCGACCAGAGCAGCGAGCCGACCCAAAAGGTGGCCCCTGCCGTCAATGACAATGGGCTGAAAAGAAGAGGAAAGATAATATTTTATTAGATTTAAAAGCCACTATATATTAAGTCATGCACATGTCTATCCATTGTATTGAAATCTAGCTAATTTATATTTGAATTGGCTTGTTGAAAACAATACAAGCGCGCTCATATGACCGTAGCAGTTGCGAGCGCCGTAAAACCTTATACTATACATACAAACAATACAATACTTCAATGCAACACACTCCCGATAACTAGATCTATATGCAGTGCTTCCACCAGCTGAGGCTGAAAAGTAAGCATAGCTCCACTCAGGAATTTCAAAAAAGGAGGAAATTCATGCAAAGGCGGACGCGCTCTCTCCGAAGGCCGGAGTAAAACCAGTGAGATCCAGAGGCAATATACTGGAAAATCTAGCCTATGGTTTTGGAAGCGAAAACTGTCATATTTGTTTACCACAGGCAAATGAATTAAAATGTATTTGAAAAAAACAACAACCCAACAACCAACAAAGGCACTAAGTAGACTAACAATAACAAGCAT